GAGATGTTGGATTGTGAAGAAGCCCCTAATGCTTTCATGGCATCTAACCCGTTATTTTACTCGAAAAGTTGGATGGGACGGATGGGATGAAGTTCCTTTTGCAGTCACTACCGTTGAGTTGAGTAGAACTAGTCTGTTATGCTTGTTCAATGCCAAAGTCATAATCGCAAGGCAATCTTACTTCGGAATCGGAGTTCCAGCCACTCTTGGTTGCAGAAAGTGAAGAAGCTTCCCTCAATCATATGAATAGACATCATGTTACCACGGCATTTCCCTTAGCCTTGCTCTCGAAAAGGTGTTCTCATACCATCTGGTCTGTGCAAGAGTTACGAGCTCACGCGGGTCTCATCAGCACACCCAGCCGGAATCGAACAGGATTAATGCAGCGCTTAGTGCCGAGGTATTACCACTGTTGCGAAGGAAGAGTTGGTTGAAAGACATTTGTGAGATGGTCGCACCGAAAACCGGAGGAAGATTGTCTGAGAGGAGTGAGGACGGTTGGATTGTGCCAAGAGGTACTCAACTCACCGTCCTGCTAGTCCGATGAGCCAGTGCTCCTGGTTTAGCACATTTGTGTGTTATTTTGTAAAATATGCTTTATAGCTCTGACAATTTCAGTCAGAATGGTACAGAAAAAAGATTAGCACAGGTTCATTGGGGCGGCAGGACGGTGACTTCTTTTCCAGATCCAACAGACTTCACTCTGCGGCAATCCTCCTTCGGTTGCCGGAGAAGCCAATTTCTGAAGTCATGGCGACCAACTTTTCCGCCGAAATGAAGACTTGTCACAGCAAATTACTTGAATTTTGTAAATAATACTCATAGAAACTATGTTTCAGGAGTATCGGTACATCTTGAATAAGAGTCGCGTGAGGTGGGCATCAGCTTATACGATCTAGAGTGACTGGAACTTTAGTGCAAGTGGTCTGAAAACATACTTCCTATGAATAATCTAATTTGCGAATTCCTTGCGGTCATCGTTTCATGTAAAATGCCTTACCTTCCAGTTGGACACTGATTCGGCGCGGCCAAGTCCGAGTGAAATGGTTAAATCCAGCTCGAGTGGGTAGGCAAAATGCATGTGTTGGATGCGCAAAAGTGGTAGGAACACACCTTCGTCGACAGGCTTGTCTACAAACCAAATCACACTCTGTCACACTATCACAAGCACGTTCAGGTTCAGTTGAATAGAGTGCGCCATGGAATCCCCGGTCCAGTTAGTCCTACCGGCCCGGGTCAAATTGAGGTTGGGAAATCAGACAAATCGACCAATCCGAAGAGTCTCCTGGCACCGAATGAGAAAAGGAGCCGGAACGCGAGAACGCGCGAGACCGAGACGGAGTGAGGAACACTGCGCAAGTGTACCAGTGCATTTGTTTGTGTGTGTGTGTGTGTGTATATGTGTGTACAAAGGCGTGTGGAAGCACGAGTGTGAAGGGTGTATTAGTAACTAAAAGGGGGCGAGATCATTATTGGCCCGTCTGCAAACGCAAGAGAAGGGTGTACCAGTTGAAGGAAATGATCCTTCACACACCCTTTTCCCTACAGTTTCGTGGGCATTCCACAGTCAAAGTGGGATTGTCAATTCAACAATCCTGACTGGTGACAGTTACGTTCCAGTTGGAACGGGGTAATGGACCTTCTGGCCGGCAATGTGTCAAGATCTTCGTCTGTGGCCCGGTAGCAACGGCCTCACAGCGGCGTTATGCTTATTAGGAATTTTTCCCATCGTCACGTCTTCCTTTGCCTCTAGCCTCTCTTCATCCACACTCCCCACCCCATACGGCCATATATGCAGAACAGGAGCATTCACATGCAAATGGCATGCCAAGTCCTGACGGTGTCTGTCAACGTGTAAGCTTGCATAAATTCGTTTAAATGTAATTATATGTGACAAGAGAGTCGGAGAGAGGCCAAGGATCATCCGTCTATTCATCCATTCAATTATCTATCTATCTATTCATCCATCTGAATTCATACATCTACTAATCTAATTCAATCACTCCGTTTATCTGTATCTAACTATCTATTTATAGCTAATCACCAGAGTTATAGATGGGCTTATGCTGGGACAGATCTGCTGGAAGGGAGAAAAGGGGAGAAGAGTGTGCGCGGCAGAAGAAGATATGGGAAGATTGAACGGTCGAGTAGAGCAGAGAGGAGGATAGACGAGTTCAGGGCGTAGCTGAGTTGATTGGTGGAGATGAGCAGAGTGAAGTAGAGCAGGCTCTAATCGGATGACGTGTGATTTCGTAGTGTATGCTGGCGCATTCTGTTCTAGGTCCGGTTCTTCGTGTACTTCATGTTGGCCGCGTGTGTGCGCTAATGCATGCTGGTGAATGTATGAATGGCTGAGGAAAAAGCGCTTGCACAACAACAGCAAGACATAGTAAGATTTCGATATTGCTACTATGACGACAGTACAAGTTGCCAACTGGTTCCAGTCGTTATTGAATTTGCATTTTGTTATCATCCATCTTTCACTAATAAACGCCGTCAAATCGCAATTTAATCATATTCCCGTTCATCTGACTGATCTTTTGAGGGATGTTTTCATCCGTTTTCATGACCCTCTATCATCTGCCCAGCCTGACACACCGTCTCGCAGGGAAACATGAATATCGGTGGGGCAAAAAGGATTCTCATTACTCTACCGTGTGCCTTAACATATTCGCTCAATTTGGGCAATTCCCAAAGCGTATCGTTTTCCGACAAGCTACAGCCTTCTTTGCGTGCCTCTGCCGTTCTACGTACCCCCGTTTTACAGCCTCTCGGGGGCTTGAGGTACACTAGACGACTTGCATGAAGATAAGATGCTGCCGGTCTGCCAATTAAAAGGAGTGGAGGAATCCGCGGTCTCGGTCTCAGTCTCAGCTCAAGTGGCGTAGTCGCAGTCGCAGTCGCAGTCGCAATCACAATCGCAATCGCAATCGTAATTGCAATCGCAATCGAATCGCGATCGCGATCGCAATCGCAATCGCAATCGCAATCGCAATCGCAATCAAATCACAATCGCATTCGCGACTAATTAGTTCGATAGCCGGACGTCAAGTCGATAGGAGACAGGCCATTGCCGTGGAGAATATGCTTGTTAGTCGAGCGACCTGATCTACCGGAGGCTATAATTACTTGGTGTTGGCTCGAGTCGCATACCGGGCCGAGACAACTTAACAACCTCTGAGTGGTTTCAATGCAACCGGAGTTGAATCGTTGTTGACCTGAGCTGGTCGGAATCCCCGCAACACCAAGCGCGTCTCCCGTCTCCGTCTCCCATCTTCTGTTTCCCATTCTCGCTCCCGACTCCGCCTCCACCTTCATCCAGTCTCCTCATTCCCTGGCCTCCACCAATCAGGCAGAACGAGTGGTTGAACGTTTTATTACGTCGAATGCTCGTTCATGCGGACAGAGTAGGCCACACATTTGTCCCCCAGACTCAGGAGTTCACACTTGGGGATATATAATTCCTCAGCCCCATCAGGTTTCCCAAATACAAACACATAAACACATGCACCTAGACACACTTATAACTTGTCGATCGGCTGTAGGATAGAGGGCACAAATGGAAGAAACTGAAAACGCACGCTCGTTAACATGAGAGCAAACATATCTGGAACGAATTGAGATCAATTTAGCGCTTAGTTACGGTTCGTCTTCTGTGAATATAGTAAAACAAGCGGGTCTACGTCTGGCCCATGACAACCTAAGCATGGATCACTTTGAAGTGTTGATCAGAATTGGGTAGAATTAAAAGAGTACAAGTACATGATGAGGATAATGTTCCGTCGACCCCATAAACAGACAACGGCGTATGCTTCTTGGCCAGCCATCAGCTGATCCTGAAGGAGGCTTTTGATTGACATGGCTCCTCTAGACAATATCATTCAGTTCCGCTGCGAGAGTACAGACCTTTCGGTGGTCATGTCTGCCACTTGACAGACCCTCCGATTTTTTGTGACTAATTTCGGGACTTTCAATAACTCTTGAATAAGAATTGGATCACATTAACTCGCTAGTAAATGGGAGGACTTCTATTTTGTGATACGGTCCAAGAAACGGGGAGGCCATGGGGAATGTACCTCTTACGAAAGTTGTCAGGATCAGTTGCAGTATAGGACTTTGACTTGGTTAATTCCAAGACGGTTTGCCAGTATTTTATTGGGCATTGCCAATGGGAGACCTATATTTATTGCACTTATTTCAATTCCAAATTTAATTCTCATTCGAAATATGATTGTAATTTTAACACTAAATCTTATTTTCATTTTCATTTTCTCTATACTTTGAATTTGAATTCTAGTTCTAGTTTAACTTTAAGTTAGAGTGAGATAAGCATTAGTTTTGGGAAAGCAAGGCTATGTGAAATTCAATGGGAACGTCATGTCTATTAATATCATTGAGGGAAAATCGAACTACCAGTTCTCTTATCACCCTAAACTAAATATGATAAATACTTCTCATAATCATAACTCTGTTTCTAATTCTATTCTAATTCTAATTCTAATAACAATTTGTCTCTTATCTATACTCTAACTCTAACTCTAATTCCATTTCTAATTCTAGCTTTTGTTCTATTTCTGATTATATTTTTTGCCCCATTATTATTCTATTCTTATTACTACTCCTACTCCTACTCCATCACAAGCATGAGGAGGCCTCATCTGATTGTGGGACAACTTAAGTATCAGTCGCTAAATGACAAAACAAATCACTGCCTTATTTCTTAATTAAAAATAATAATGATCGTGAGTGTTACTCGCGTCGAAATTAAGTAATGTAGTCGATCGTAATGGAAGGAACATGCTTTCTTAGTCGACAATTCTACTATAAAGATGTGGGCTGGGAGAAACCTGGCTAGTCATGAGTGTCCTATTTGCACTGTGATCCACTGGGACCCGTGGCCATGTGGTGGCGTCAAATCCCACTGGGGCTGCTGATGAGGCTTAGGTCAGGTCAGAATTGTCGTCCAGTCCGGCGTGGAAGAGACAGCCGTTGTGAAACAAGGCCAAGTGGAATTTTTTGGCGTAATGAGGTTTATTAATCGCATTGTGGGAAACTCCAACTATTCGTTCTTCATCTAGACTGGTTATGCCTCTATAAGTCTACTTACAAGTAATATGATGAAATTAAGACTAGGCAAAATCTTCCGCCGTCCTTTGAAGTGCTTCGTAGTGGATTTGTGCCCTCAAAGAGCAAGAATGTATAAGTGAAAGTTTTCATAGCATTTCCTCCAGCAAAAACCAATCGTGTAATCATAAATGAACAATTTCACAGTCTTTTGGTCATACTTTATTTTAAAAAATGTACTCGATTGCCAAGTCTTCACATTGCCTCGCCTCATGAAGTCAGAATATGCTCAAGGTTATATGAAAAAAACTCGATTTCAAAAACTCCTTTAGTGATCTATTGTGATATGATTTTTCGTTTTTAAGGCCTATTCATCACATTGTGGGAAACTCCAAGTATTCGTTCTTCATCTAGACTGGTTATGCTTCTATAAGCCTACTTACAAGTAATATGATGAAATTAAGACTAGGCAAAATCTTCCGCCGTCCTTTGAAGTGCTTCTTAGTGGATTTGTGCCATCAAATAGCAAAAATGTATAAGCGAAAGTTGTCATAGCATTTCCTCCAGCAAAAACCAATCATGTAATCATAAATGAACATTTTACCAAGCTTTTGGTCGTACTTTATAAAAAATGTACTTGCCTCAGGAATTCAGACTATTCTCAAGGTTATATGAAAAAAACTCGATTTCAAAAACTCCGTTGGTGATCTATTGTGACATGATTTTTCATCATGTCTCATCAGAACTCGCAAGAGAACATCTGCCTTGGCGAAATAAAGACTGCTCACCGTCCTGCGTCCTCGATGAACTCGTGATGAGCATTCTGAAAATCATAACACAATTTTTGAGCTAACTTCCACTTTGAGTAAAAGTATTTAGGAAATAGATTCGAAGTTCGATCCCACCAGAATACGATGGCGGATTCCTTTAAACAAGCAGGTTGACGCTGTTTCCCGGGCAATTGTCTTCGATACCGATCAAAACATGCTAAGCTTTCGTCCGTCACATGACGAACATCACCAGAGGCTATCATCCTTACCACCGTATTCGAGCTAACGAGTCAATAAATCTCATCGGCTCTTTCCTAAATGATGTATATATATATATATATATATATCATATATCTAAGCTCGTTGCTGGTGGTATGAAGTGATTTGGTTAGTGCAAGTCATGTGTCAAACTCTAAGCTTGTGAGTGTGTCCGTCTATGTGGGCGTATATGCACGAAACCAAGAGTGATGGCTCAAAGTAATTAAAACGGAAAAGTAACATCTGTTCTCGGCCATCGAGATTTGATAGACACCATCACCCTCGCTCAATATATATTTTACCAATCCCTCCGATTGCGCATGGTCAGACACAGGTTTGGTTATGTTGATGAGCTTTTGCGACTTGGTGCCAGATACATGGAATGGGCTAAAAGTACCATCATAAAAGAGCTTAGATATAGGGTATATATACAGTATTTAGGGGTGGGCCGGTGAGTTTTTATGACTCGATATCTCAAATTTGGTTGTAAAAGTGAAAGCCTGCTCTGATAATGTTCGCCATACGACGGAGGAAAGCCTGGCATGTTTGCATATGAATGGAAGGCGATTAGCTCTGATACGGCGTCAGCAAGAATGTTCCAGTAAAGCCAAGCGACAGCTGGTG